CTCAGTTCCATGCAGGTACACTCAAAGCTTGTGTGGGACTGTTTGGAAGCCCTAACAGAGCTGGGTAGTCAAAACAGACTAACCTTAGCGTGGGTACCAGGCCACAGGGGACACAAAGGCAATGAAGAGGCTGATTTACTAGCCCGAGAAGGAGCATCAAATGCTCTTATTGGCCCAGAACCCTTCTGTGGTGTAACAAAAACAACTATCAGAACATGCACAAAGCAGTGGATGTTTAAAAAATCTCAGGAGTGGTGGGAAAACTCACCAGGACAGAGACAGGCCAAAAAGTTCTTAAAAGGACCATCGTCTAAACTCACCGAGCATCTACTAAGCCTTAATAGGAAAAATACTAGAATACTAGTAGGTCTATTAACAGGGCATTGTAGGCTTAACAAACATATGTTCAATATCGGTCTGACAGAAGAGGCCTTGTGCCGATTCTGTCAAGAAGAAGAGGAAACGGCAGAACACGTATTGTGCTACTGCGAAGGTCTAGTAAGACTGAGATTCCTTACACTTGGAGAAGAAAAACCAAGGGCAACTAGCTATACCGGAGAACTACTTTCCAGTCTATGGAGTTTACTACAAAAGACCGCATTAGACAAGGTACTCTAAACAATGATTAAAGGATATCCACAATAGATCTGAAAAGGTCGAGGTGGGGGAGGCCACATGGCCCATAGTCCTAATTAAATCTAATCTAATCTAGTGGACCTCAGTCTGTGTGCCCTTGACAATAAGAAATGCGAAATAACCCTTGAAAAAAGCATCAATTTGCAAAGAAGGCCTTTTTTGCTCTTCAAGAAATCGACCTATGAAAATATATTGATAGGTGGGCCTCCTCCGTTCTGACCGGTAGGCACTGGAAGTCCCGATCCGACACTGCTCCTGTTTGTCCAAGAGATTTAAAACCTGTCAATAAGAAATTTATATAGCTCTATTATTCAAATTGCAGGTAAAAAGATTATATCACAGACATTTTATGTAATGTTTAAATTGTAATACAATAATATATTTCTTCTTCTTTCTGTTTAATCTCTTATCAAATCGCACTTCCAATTTTCTATTTAATCCCTTATGAAATTTCAGTTAAAAGGATTATATTTATAGTTTCTCTACTTTCTAATTAGTATTTATCAAAAAGATATATATTCTGGATGTATTTTCAGTATTATTTTGTATTACTAAGAGATTCTTCAAGTAATTGTCTGCTGTAATATACTCGTATTGTATGTTTCTATCCAATGTTGTCAGATGTTACCATTCGCCAAATATGTCACCGATTTTAAAATGTCTATAATACGGATAGTGTCGATCGACATTTTGATAGACATTAGTAGTAGACATTATAACGAATGCGACATTTTTAATAGACATTCGAGAATAGGGCCCCTGGTAGCTCTCACAACGATTTTCCGCAATTTCTGTGTTACCACTGCATTATTTATCAGCAAGCATTATGTGGAAATTTCCTGAAACTAAACAACATTATGAAACTGATGGTAAAAATTGTGAACAAGATTAGAGCTCAAGCGTTACAAAGAAGATTATTCAAAACCTTGGCCGATGAAGTTAAGTTGACTGTCAATACGGGGACCTACTCCTTCACTCTGAAGTCCGATGGTTAAGTAGAGGACGGGTGCTGAAACGTTTTAATGATATCCAATCTGGCATAGTTCAATTTTTCAAACAACGCGATGAACCGACTCCGGAACTAGAAAATTCAATCTGGCTTAGATTTTGGTTTTTTCGTGGACATTACAGATAAATTAAACGAACTTAATTTGCAGCTTCAGGGGAGATACAAAGAACTAGCGGAAATGATTTCTGATATAAAAGTATTTATCAAAAAGCTGGAGTATTGGGAACAAAACCTAATTAACAGCGATGCCAAGCATTTTCCTATTCTTTCAGAAAAAATATCTCAAAATCCATTAGAACCCTATGACAGCATGTAGAAATAGTTTCTACCCTGAAGAATAACTTCAAAAATCGTTTTAAGGATTTCAACGAAATGGCTTTAGTAGCGCAGTTTGTTGTTTCACCCTTTATGGAAATTGATATCCAACAGTTTGCAACTTGTGTTATGCAGAACTTTGGCGAAGACATCGCTGCAACAGAAATGGAAGTAATTGAGTTCCAAAATGATTTAGCCTTAAAATCATTACTCTCAAGTACCAAATGTATCTGGCCTATTGTAAGTAAAGACAAATATTCAGTTCTATGCCGTGTTGCCTTGAAAGTGAAAGCATTATTCAGTTCAACCTATTTGTGTGAATCTTCTTTTTCCAATATGAAATTTATTAAGAACAAATATCGCAATCGACTTACAGATGAACATTTGGATAATTGTATTCAAATATCTGTATCAAATTATACTGCAAACATTAAAAAAATTATCGATGAGTCTGAGTGTCAGCCTTCTCATTGAACGTGCTTTTTTATTTTTCAATGTTTATGTTCATGATAGTGCGTTACTTCTTTGTTGTTATTATTAACTATTTTTAAATCTTACGTGACATACCATTGTGGCATGTGGCATTGTGGCTGGATTTTTCAAACACCTTCGTTTGGTAGGTAGGAATGTAGCTATGAACAAGTACGTACTAGTAATATTAGTTATTTTGTTATTAGTTTATTATTAGTACCTATGTATTATGTATTACCAGTTAAATAGTAAAATAAATACATATAATGATAAATTAACTGTGGATTATTTCATTTACGTTGCGTTACGTGGCTTCCGTGTGGGTAGCTCGCTGTTTATTCCAAAATTAACAAAGTACAATGATTTTTTTTTTGGCTGGCAACTACAATCTAAAGTTAGGTATTTTTTCATTGCCGTAAGAACCCATTTCTTGATGAAATTCAGTCATCGCTTAATTTTGATGGTTTTCCTATAAAAGAGTACCGATGACATTGTATCCATTTACGCAGTTTTCTGTTTTAGAGTTGGGTATAAAACACATGACTATTTTATAGAAACTGGAACAAAACAAAATATAAACAAAACCTCAAAAATAATAATAAATGTTTTACCTGGAGCTTGGAGAAGTATTTCATTAACAATTATTGCATTGACACACTGTGGGATTTTTATTTGTTTATCCCATCAATAAAATATTTAAGCAGTTTGAAGATATATTTACAGAAGTATAATTATTGTAAAATATAAATTAATGACATGTCATGTATATAATTGTAAAAATCAAAAAAGTCATAATTCTCTCTCTCCCGGCAACCAGGGAGCCATAGTGAAGTGAGCTTAATATTTATCCATCCACGACTGCCACAAAGATTGGAGGTTATAAATTTGCGGAAACTATGATTAAGGTGAAAGGTAGTAATTAGTGCAACAGTAGGCACTACACACACTTATTTCAGATTTATTAAATTCGCATTTTTATTTAAACACGGTTTTTAAATAAACACAATTAAAATTGTCTTATTGTTAATTTTAGAGTTTAACAACTTAATCACAAATATCGAGATATAATAATGTAGAGAGGGGATATTAACACTATTTTGCAATATGACAAGTGAACGAACTTTGAGTCGTATTTTGATTAATTTGATGTTATTAATTTTATATTTGAGACTAAATGACTGAATGAAAGTGTCTATACATCATTTAAGGCATGTTATTAAAAAAAATGGTATTTATTCTCACTAAAACTGACTAGCTATAAAAAGCTATAAAACTTTTGTCTGAAACTTTTTTTCTAAAATGCATATTTTCGGCGGTATTTAACTGTAACACTTTAATTTGAACACCCGGTATATGTGGACAATAAATGTGTTATTAGTATTATTATTATTAATAATATTAAGATAACTGTATAATTAAATCATTACGAAAACCGTTTGCTAAATTATTAAACTTTAAGATTCTGAAAAATTATAAAGTTTCCTATTCGCTCCGTGCGCGACAGCAGCGCCAATTCGTTTTGGTATTAATGGACTATTTCTGCGTATACTGACAAATGCAATTTTTAATAGAATTCGTAATTAAAAAGTATATATGTTAGTTTTAATAAAAGTATATGGATTTGTAAAACAAGCAAAACATTAATTTATTATTATTATTATTATATATTTTTATATCTTAAATTAAAGAAAATTATGTATAATCAATAAAAATGAATAATAAAATATAGGCAGGCAACAGTATTTACTGGAAAATGTATAAGAAGTTGCCTAAGTCTAATAAGTTGTCATTGAAGAATTATTCTGTCAAAATAAAAAATACCATTTAATAATAGCGTGAAGTTAAAATGTTTAAAAAAAGGATCGTTATTTATATTTTCATTTTTGTTGAAAACAAAACATAGAATGAATGATTAAAACTGGTTTCCCATCAGTATTATTTCTTTGATTTAATTTCCACTTTGTTACTGAAATTTTTTATATAAGTTTCACTGTTTTTTTTGCTAGTATTTGTACAATTTTCAACACAGCAACTCCGGTTGCTTACTGTATTGTTTTCACCTACTTTTTTGAAAAAAAGTAAAATGTATACGTGTATTTGATATGCCAAAATTACAAAATATCGCCTTAAAATGCACGAATTATCCGCAGCTAGCGCTAGTATCGCTTTTGCTTCCCTTTCCATGACTTCGCACGGAGCGAATAGGACAATTAAAAAAATGTGTACTATTATAGTTCATTATTAAGAATTTTTTTGTATTAAATTATTCACCTAATTATAGGTAAGTACTTAACTACTTACGAACGAACAATCAAATTTTATTTATTTTATATACAGCTATTAAATTATCTAATTGAAATTAGAAAAATTCCCGTAGATGGAATTAAGTGTTTATATTGTTTAAACAATTACAACCAATTTATACGAAACATAATAAAAAACAATTGAGAATTTTGTGAGTCAGTCAGTAGGTATCTAGTGTTGCCTTAAGAAAATAATAAGCCATTAAACAAAATTTTTGTGTTTGAAGTAACATCCCACTTTACGATAATTTATTTCTTGATTGCAGGTAAAATTACGGGACGACGAGACCCACCCGAAAGCTTATTGTCGATGCTACGATATCGAAACGACCTCAAGTAACGATAAACTACAATTAGCGAATACTTCCGAAGGACTTTCATGGCGACGATTGCACATGTCGAGAGCAAAACTGAAAGCGACAGCTACCACTTCCGAACTCCTATCTGGGTTTGCTATGATAGCTATGGTAAGTCTATTTTCTGTTTAGGTTTACTCCAACAACGAGTCCAAATCCATACACAATTAAACGCCACCATAAATCAGCTTCACCGAAAATAAATAATACAGTCCACTCCATTTTTTTGTTCAGGACCGAACCATTACATAAGTTTTTAAATTCTCATTGTACATTTCCTTCTAACTAAACCTACGTCAGTATATCAGTCAATTGATTTTTCTTTCAGATCATAACGTGGTACCACTTTATTTGATTTCGTTTCGTCTCGTTTTAGGTAGAACTTCAAATCAACACGCCAACAAACGTACCCGAATGGTTGTTTGTACTGTTTGCAGTTTGCACGACAGTTTTAGTAGCAGTTCATATATTCGCTTTGATGATCTCTACGTACATACTTCCGAATATTGAGGCAATAGCGAAACTGGAAGTGTGCGAAATGGTGTCAGAGAGCCCTCACGAAAGGATGAAGGGGTTTATAGAAATTGCGTGGGCGTTTTCTACAATTTTAGGTAAGCAAACGTTTGGGATTCGAAACATTAAAAAAGCATTTAGTATCTATATCCAAGAAAGAAGAGTCTGAGCAAAGCGAATTAATCTAAGATAGTGCTACACTCCAATTTATATTTTTTTCCTCTGAGCGCGTGCTTGCACAGAAGCGTATTCAGATCGTTTTTAAAAACATTCTAATTATTTTTTTTATTTTCAGGACTGTTCCTCTTTTTAGTGGAAATAGCAATCCTGTGTTGGGTGAAATTCTGGGACTACTCGTTCACGGCCGCTGTGGCCGCCACAGTTATTGTGATTCCAGTATTGATTACGTTCGTACTATTCGCGGCGCATTTTTATCATTCGCTAGTCGTTTACAAATGCAACACGTCCGATAGCGACATGGAGAAATTGGAAAATCTCAAAAAGCAATTGGACGAAGTGACCATATCAATGTGATTCTTTTAATAATTTAGATATATTAATGTGTTGTAGATAATAATCAGACTATAAGAAAATTATATTTTTCTGTAAGTTTTAAAATGAGGTTTTTTTTATTTTTAATTATGTATTCTTATGTTTCTATTCACATCTATCCACCCCTGATAAGTAGAAAGCTGAATTATCCTTTTTAATTCGTGTCACATTTATAAATTGTCTAACCAGAGGGCGTATTGCTTAAAATTCAAATTCTTTTATTTGTACTAGGGACAATATACAAAGTGTATTGTGTTGTACACGTCAATATCCATAACTAAATATTACAAAAAGATAAAGCTATAAATTAAAATGGTGCAAAAATACCAACTGCAAGATCCCAGACAACACACCAAATCCCAGAGATATCCACAGAATATCTTTTGTGGATATCCAATATATCCACAGGATATCAGAAATATTCCGTGGATCTAATATGGATATCCAAATGTCCGTCTATATCCATAATATAGAAGATATCCTATGATATCCAGTAAAATATCTAATGGGTATCTTCCAGACAATACAAGAAATCCCAGAGATATCCACAGAATATATTTTGTGGATATCCAATATGGATATCCAACCAAATGTCCGTCTATATCCCAGGATATAGAAGATATTCGGATATTCAGCAAATATTTTATGGGTATCTTTAGTAGAGGTTCATAAGTAACCACTGATTATTGAATAACATCGAAAGAAAATAGCAGAGATAAAAAATATTCTCAACACAGAAAAATATTTTCAACACTCTGCCTTTGATTTTGTCCACTAAGGAGAAAGTCATCCTTATTAGGACTATTCAGCAATAAATGGAAATTCTCGACTCCAGTCTCTAATGGAGTCTGATTGTGGTACAAATTTCGATCGAACTCAATTACGGCGGGTTGAGCATAAGTAGATGCGAAAGTGGTATCGCCATCTATACTTAGTAAGCAAAATCAAAAATTAAATCTAGTGGATATCCACGATGGTTTGCGTTCGCGCCTAGACTTTGATATATTTAGTGGATGTCTATGGGATATTGAATACACCTTAAAAAAATTAATTTTAAATATCTGAACGGTACTATTAGCCACAATGGCGAGCACACTGACGTAATTTTTTAATAATTTGCTATATAATTACAGTATAACTTCAGTAGTTTGGGCAGATATCGTTCCGGGGCATGCCCGGACTATTGAGGCGTCCGGATTACTGGAGTAATTTGAATTTATGAAATAAAACAACTTAAAAATGATCAAAAATAAGGTTTATTAATCACAACCAAAAAAAATTACACTTCTCATAAAATAAAACAAAAAAAAAAACAATACTTCTCAAAAAATACCTAAAACAAAAGTGCACACAATTCCTAAGTAAAATATGCAATTTGCATGTCTTCTAATTTTTTGAAAAAAACTTATTAATTGTAGTTTGGACCTTTTTCGATGCATCTACATTAGTTGCTTTATTTTTGAGCCTTCTCAAAAGCAATACATCTTCAAGGGGAAGATTATTCTCCTCAGTCCACCTGAGAGCTAGTGAAAACGCTTTGACAGCATCTGCATGTTTCACCTTCTCCATATTTACATCACCTTCTGATTCAGAAGATTCATTTGTATTTTCAATATTGCTCCCTACTGCATCCTGGATAAGCGGTTCTTCAGTTAAATCAACAACAAACTCGTCTTCTCCTACAGTCCATTTTGTGATGTTTTCGCTGCAACATGAAAGTTTTTCGCCACAGACCTTCAAAAAACGGATTCCGTGTCTTAGCTTGAATTTGTCTAACCATCCAGAACTTGCTAAAAAATCATTTTTTCCTGTTATTTGTTCATAAAACTGTTTAGCTTTGGTACGTAATATTTCTGATGAAACAGGTATGTGCGCGTTTCGTTGTTGTAGAAACCAGTTGTACAATGCTACTTCAAGTTCAGGAGGTTCTGCTTTCCGAATGATTCTCCTTTTGCCTACAAAAATAGAAGGAAGAATTGAATTAATAAAATATTACATATGAACTTATTGGTATTCCTACCTGACCCTTGAAATGATTTTGAAATAAAGGTCCTTATTTTATCCTTGTTTTTTTTTGATATCAAACACTGTAGATTTTGGAATACCAAACTACTCTGCAATTCGACGTGTACTTTTTCCTGCATCAAGGCAATCTAATATTTTGGATTTTTCTGCCAGTGTGTCTTATGTAGTCGCTTTATTGGAGCCATTGCGTTCGGCACGCTTAAAAACCAAATGCGGAAAGAAAGATTAAGAGACGAGGCCGCCGCTGCGCCGTTTCTAACTCTTGTTTAGACCGGAAAATTCTAGTATTTGCATATGAATATTTTTGTGCCCGGATTTCAGAGGCAAAATTGTCAAAATGCCCGAATCACAGCAGTGCCCGGATTACTGGAGTGTCCGGTCTAGCGACTGTCCGAAATATCGAAGTTATACTGTACTATTATTTATGGACATTTGCATGTCTATAAATTACATCTCATGGATATAAAATAGATATCCACCATGAACTGGACATTCAGTGGATATTGGGATATCCAGTAGATATCCAAAGGATTTAGTGTGCTGTCTGGGATGTAGTATTGTTATTAATAATTAATTATTAATGTGCGAGCTAGGTCGACTTACCGAGTAAGAATGGCGTATTTACCAAGACTAGAGGAAAACCTAGTAAAACCCATAGTGCCATAATTTGCAATTGGTAATTACATCAATCATACTGTTTACCAACACAGAAAATTATTACTGATAGGTAGAAAAAGAAGAAAAAAACTAAACTACTAAAAAGGATCCTATCTTATTTCTAATCCTAACTTATTACATGAATTTGAAATATTTAAGATTGTAACATCATCTAGTGAGTAGGGCTCAATATCAATTAAGATATTTCTAATGGTTGACTTAAATCTACCTACATTTTTAATATTTTTTATACAGGGTGTCATTGAAATAGTGTAAAAAAATTCGGGAGGTGATAGTACTCCTAAAACTAGTAAAAAAAGTTCCTATAACTATGGGTCGTTAAATGCATATTAAGGGATTTAGGGGAGTCAAAAGGGCAAACTTGGAAAGTGGTTTTTTTGAAATTGTAAGCTTAAAAAACACGATAAAACTTCGAAAAAAATCACTGCTGACATAAAATTTACTGCTGAATCCAATGGTAATATTGAGAAATTACTTATTTAATCAGAAAGGGTAGATTTATGATTAACTTTTTAGGGGTTGATTTTTTTATAACGGGTCTATTTTTTAAAAACTACTACCTTTTTTCCATAAAAAAGGTACTCTTATTGCAAGTCGCTTAAAGCAATGGTTTTCGAGAAAATTTTACTGAACTCGTATTTGAAAAACAAGTATGTATTTATTTTTTGATGGGTTGCTCACAGGTTAATCAACATAAATTTATGAAAATTATGGCGTGGTTATTTCAATTTAGAATTTCCAAATCGCCCTGTTAAACAAGAGAAGCGCCGAAATTATTTTAAATAATAAAAGAGTGAGAAATTAAGGCTGTATGTGACGATACTAAATTAAGTACTAAATTTAGAACTAAATTAATGCATTTTTTTAAGTACTAAAAAAATTCACGTTGCAAACAGCAAATTTAGTACTAAAAAAATTCATTAATTAATTAGAACTTGTTCTATTTCCTACTAAATTTAGTACTAAAAGTGCGTCAAAATGTTGCGCAGAAGTTTTTCACAGAAAAAGTTGACACGGCGGTATTTTCTGTACCATTTTGTTTTTAATTAGCGACAATTTTGCATTATCGCCTTAAATAAAGTTCGCTTGTTTGATTTTGTAGATTTATTGTGTTTTTTTCGTGGTTTTTAGTAGCATTCACGTAGCATTGCTGTATTTGGTTGTTATCAAGTCAACTAGTGTCAAATTGATAATAAAAACATCATTTACTTCACTTGTCTATTTTACACAGAATATTTCATTTTTCTGCTAATTTCACGTATTAATGTCAATGCGCGTGCGCCTATAGTTAACTCAGTACTAAAAATTGGTATCGTTGCAAACGGAAAAAAATATTTTTAGTTCTAAATTTAGTACTAAATTAATAACTTAATTTAGTGCTAAATTTAGTACTTAATTTAGTATCGTGACATACAGTCTTTAAAGTGAAAAATATTTTATTACTATTAGGGAAAGTACCGTATTTTTGTATCATATCAGTCTGACTCTTTTATTTAAAGTAAATGTTCAATGTGGCCACCATTCATTTCAATACAGACACCTGCTCTTCTCCTCCAGGATCTGCGTACCCTATCGAAAATCCTTGGCGTTGTACGAATTTGATTGGAGCAGTCAATTATCCGTTGTCGTAGTTGCTCTTCAGTATTAATCGGCACTGAGTAAACCAAAGGTTTTAAGTGACCCCATAAGTAGAAATCAAGTGGATTAAGATCTGGTGATCTGGCTGGCCAAGCTTGTGGACCATCACGTCCTATCCAACGCCTCTCGAAAACTTGATTTAAATGATTTCTCACGGCTAGTGGAAAATGAGGTGGTGCACCATCGTGCATAAAATACATAATCTGCCTCTGTGCTATTGGAACTTCCTCCAAAAGTATTAGTAAATGGTTTACCAAAAAAATGAAGGTAATTTTGTCCATTAAGCCTAAAAGAATAATAATAATTAGGAATTGGTGACGTTTGAACAGTTTTAAAATTTACCTATTGGGTAGAAAGAATGGTCAAATAAGTCTATCTCCAAGAATTCCCGCCCAAACGTTTACTGAGAATCGAACTTGGTGTCGGCTTTTTATGACAGCATGAGGATTTTGATCGGACCAGTAATGGGTGTTGTGGTAATTAACAATCCCATTTTTGGTAAACCCTGCTTCATCAGTGCATAAAATGTTTGACAGAAAAAAGGGACCTTCTACCAGTTTTCTTAATAACCAAAGACAGAAATTGGTACGAGCGGGATAGTCTGGAGGATTAAGGGCTTGTACCTTTTGGATGTGGTATGGATACAGCAGTTGAGTATGAAGAGTCATCCACACAGTATGGCGACTCACGTTTTCTCGCGCTGCAATTCTCCTTACAGATAACCCTGG